ATCCCTTTGTCTTATCTTGAAAACGTCCGATTTTCTCTTTGCAACTTTTATGGACCCAGGTGCGCCTTCACAAAAGAATCAACTAACATGGAAAATGAATCGATAGAGTTAGGTGGCAAGTTGTGATTGCAAATAATTGCTCCCTTTGATAGAGTTTCCCCAAACTTTTTCGACAAAACGGACCTGATCTCATTACCTTCTAAGTCATTACCATTTATCCTGCACGTGTATGTAGTGATATGCTCATTAGGATCAATGGTCCCATTGTATTTGAGTATATATGGCATACGGAACTTCTTTGGAATAGGCTTTGGGGCCGCACTCTGAGGAAACGCTTCTACACAAACTTTTTGGAATCCAAGCCCTTTAAGATCAGGGGTTCTCCTGGTATCTAATCAACACAGGAGTTGTACATTTCCACCTTTTTTGTAATTATCTTCGATATTCTTTTCTCCCAACTCTATTTTTTTAGTGAGCTCTTTGAGCATTTTCATAATTGTAGGATCAGTCCCTGATCCGTTACCACTCGTCCTTTTCAACATTGGCTTGGTATGGCGAGTGATTTTTGCCTCGACCACACTCGGAGTTCTATGCTGACTCTGAAGATGAGCAATAGCGGCCGTTGAGCCTGTAACATCTTGAATATTACTCGGAGGCTAACTCCCCTGTCTCATACACCCTATGTTCCTTGGCCATCAGATCGTCCTTCCCTGTGTACACTTCCTCCGGCATCTTCGCCTAAATCCTTGTTCAAAGCAATGCATGAACTAACATCGACTAGATAGACAATCGACACTTCCCTAGGGTTAATCGGTGGCACACCGGCTCCTAGAGAAACTACATTATCGTTTTCCTCGTGAAATCCAAGACCATTATCACCATGTACGCATGTGTTTTGTGAGTTTGACATGTTTTAACCTGAGAAAAAAATTCTTGAAAAGAAAAAGTGTGAAAATAACGCGTGTTATTAGAATCAGTACTAAAAAATCACTATTATCCTTAGCTCCAGTGGGCGACAAACTGTTTACCCTAAAATCCGAGTAACAATCAAAATTTATGTTGAGGTCTTAAAGATATGTGATTTAGTCCAATACCAACTGATAATCAAAGAATCAAATGTATAAATTAAAGAAATAAGTTGAATCAAACAAGTGAAGAAGCCAGTCTCGACCTCAAGCTAAGATGGCCTCGAGGTAGGACAGTAAGAACAACAAAGCTAAAAGACAATTCTGATGAGCAATAAGCAAGAAAGTAAAGAATGTATATTCTTTTGTCAATGATTGATGTGATACAAATGATTGGGGTCCCCTTTATATAGTAGGGGAATCCTAAATAAGGTACAATTCTAATTGTAGTAGGGAATCTTATTATATAGTTGTCTAACTGCCTAATACAAATCCGTTCCTGAATTTACGCCGTGATCTTTGGTCCACTATGGGAATCTCACTCTTTCTTTTGTGAAACCATAACGGTATTATCTTGAGGTTGGTCATACTTGGCCTAGGTGTTCATCGAGCACTTCAATCTTCGAGTCTTGTACTCCGCCCTCGAGCTCGAGCCGGACCATTTCGAACTTGTTCTTGAAGTAACCTTCGAACCCACGGAATCGATCATACCTGATTTTGATCTTATATAGGTACCTAGTTATACCTCATTGGTGTACAAGTTCCTAATTAGTATGAGTGTATTTTCTTTCCTTTTTGTTGGTTCTATTATTCGGATGAGGCATGTGGCGCTACCGTAGTTTCATGGTGGATTTTGGAGATGAATTGAATGTGAATTTATTTGTTGCTTGGGGTTATGATGGTAGGCTAGAATCACGTGTTTTAGCCGCAGTTTGCACTCCAATTACTGCATCTTATTTGTGTTTGAGCATAAATGTTAGTGTGTTGCACTTATTTTGCGTGTTATGCCCTGCAGGAAGTGATTTGAGTAAAAAAGATAATTTTGAACTAATTCGAACAATATAGAGCTTTGAAGTCTAAGTAAAAGCACAAGAAATTAAATCGGGATCACATTCAGGGTCGATGACCAAGTCTGGATGTCAAAAAGTGAGAAAACAAAATTACTCTGAGAAATTTGTACTACCGCCCCACGCCATGTGTAGCGGAGCGGGGGGCGCTAGTGCAAATTTCATGCAGAGTTAAAAAAAAATATGTCTTTGAATTTCTCCACTAATGCCCTGCATGGGGCGGGGCATGGCGCGACACGCCTATGTGATTTTCTGAGAGTACTTGTCCGGTTTCAGCTTGGAAAGGGTAGATTCGTCTAGGCCTATTCCTACATGGTATAAATACACCAAAAAGACATTTTTGAAGGGCTTTTGACCTTGGAAGATTTTGGAGAACATTGGAGGCTACAAGACTCAGGATTCATCATCCTTCCATCAATTCAATACGGGAGTTTGGATTGTAACTTTAGATTGATGTTTTCTTATTCTTTAATTATATTTGTGATAACTTCCTCCATGATTATGGAATAGTTTACCTTAGGGTTTGACGAATATGGTGTTGTGATAAATATTTGTGGGTTTTAACTCTAGTTCATGCTTTAATTCATTTATGGATTTTTGAATGTTGAAACGTTACTCACCGATTTATTTAATCGAAAGATGAATATTTTGGTGATTATCCTTGCATTGTTTTATTTGGTTTATTTCAGTGATTCTCTTAAGTAATCAAAAGATCTTGTTGAATTGTTGATTAAATCAAGTTAGGAGAATATTCCAGAGACGTTTTCCTAAAGACTAATCCAGTAATGCATGCTTGCATACTTTCACAGTCCTTATATTAGTTCACCTCTTAGAGTTAAGATTTAATCGAGAGAGGAGTCTTGACTACACGTTTGAACTAATCATCGAGTGAATTCGTGAGAATCATTAGAGTGAAATAAACTGGATTTAAATCCTAATAGATATCTTGCACCTATCCTGTTACGACCCTTATTCCTCACATTGATAAGAAACCAACTTTGCGAATCTCTATTTCCTTGTCGTCAATTGTCAATTGCTTTACTTTAGTAGTTAACGTAGTTCATAATTATTTAAGTCAAGTGTTGATGCTCTTGAATAGCAATTAAACCAAAAATTACTCGAATATTATTTAAATTCAATCGCTATGGAGATGATATTTTACTGCATTATCTTTGATCAGCGAGCATCAATTTTGTGTTGTATTTTACACTCGTCAAATTTTGGCGTCGTTGTTGGAGATTGGCAATCAATAGTCTTCAAAATAGTTTTTGGTGCAAATTCAAGAATTTATTTTTATTTTGTTCTTCACGGGTTTCTCTTCCATATGCAGGTAACAGGTTAAGTTCGTGGTGTATGACCAGATCTTCTTCAAAAGAAGTAATACCTTACAAACAGGAGTTGGAAAAACACATGCGATAACTAAGGAAAAGAAAGAGTTCACCGGAAAGTTCTTGGGGCAACCTTCAACACAAGAACACATGATAGATAACGATGACGACGAGGTAAGTTTAGCTACAAGAGAGGTAGCACAGTATAGAGAAGAAGCTGCAAGGATAGTAGCTGAGGTAACCCGTAGAGCTATTGAGGAGACCATAGAAAATGATAGGTGTCGAAGATTCAATCAAAATCGACCCTTTATTGAAGACCAGTTTGAGAATGCGGTACCCATGCCTCGTAGAGCATTGGGTGATTATACCAGACCAATCTAGACCTCCACCAGTAGCAATGAATAATTTCGAGTTGAATCAAGGCTTGATTCAAGCTATCCAGAATGATTGTGTTTTCAGAGGAAGGTGAATGAAGATCTTAACACTCACTTGATGGATTTTGAGGAAATCATGAACACCTTCCAGTATAATGGCGTGTCGAAAGATGCAGTCTACTTAAGGGCATTCCCTTTTCACTGAAGGATAACGCGAAGCACTAGCTTCGTAGCTTACCAACATGGTCGATCAAGATATGGGAAGACATGACTAAAAGGTTTCTTGACAAATACTTCTCAGCTGCAAAAATAGTGAAATTCATAGGGGAAATTCACAACTTCTTCCAATCGGACATTGAAATAGTTTTCGTGGCTTGGTAAATATTCAAGGAGATAGTAGGAAGTGTCAGCATAATGGGATTGACTTATGGATGCAACTCTAGGACTTTTCGGATGGACTGACACCTCTCTCACGACGAACTCTAAATACTACAAAATGAAGGGCCTTTAATGAAGAAGACTCCTGAGGAGATTGTGACAATTCTTGATGAGCTCGATGAAGATGCTAACCAGTGGCCTGCTAAGAGTAATGATAGAAGAAAATCAGTTGGGGTTCATCAAGTATATTCTAACATAGTAGTGCAAGCCCAACAAGAGCCATGACCAAGGAGATAAGAAAGTTGACCTTATCCAAGGTCCAGATCCAACCATCACTAGTTTGTGATTTCTGTGGAATGGCTCATCCAATGCATGAGTGTCAGGCCTTAGCTGCAGATGAAGTAGTAAATGTTGTGGGAAGCTTTGACAGAGGCAACTACCAGAGTGGTCAAAATTTTAATTATATGGGACAGAGGCACCAAGGGTTTTCTTGGAACTCGCCAAGTGGTAACCTGAACTCATGGCAGCAAAATAACTCTAGACCTCAAGGATAAGGAGCTCTAGGTTTTCAAAGTTAGCAGAGGCAGCAATATCATCCTCCACGGTCTAATCAATCTGGCATGGAAGATCTAATGAAGACTTTCATTATCAAGACAAATGAGAGGCTTGAAACTCATGGCTCAGCTATACGAGAATATGGTGCATCTATCAAAGAACTGGCACGACTTTTCGAGACCTACACAGGTTGGGAAACTAGCTACTCTATTGTTTGAGAGGATTTCAGGATCTCTCCCCGCTATCCTGAAAGAAATCTAAAAGAGACAATAAATGCAGTGTCTTTGAAGAGTGGCACCTATTGAGGATTCCAGGGCAAATCAAAGGATAAGTCGATTGAAAGGTAGGTGGAGAATGTGGAAGAGCAGAAAAATAACTCAAAAAGTTATAGGGATGGTAGATGATGGCTTGAAGAAGAAGGTGAAGATTAGATCTCAGAAGAAGAAGAAGAAGAAGAAGAGAGATTATAATGTAACAAATAATGAGACTGAAGAGAGCAAATACATGTTTTCTCTACCTTTCCCCTAGAAACAAAGAAGAGAGAAGTTAGGAAAACAATTCTAGCATTTTCTAGAAGTGTTCAAGCATGCGCATGTGAATATACCCTTCACATAGGTTCTTTCACAGATACCAGCTTATGCTAAATTCATGAGAGAGATATTGTCCAAGAAGCGAAAAATGGAAGAGACATCGGTTGTCAAGCTGACAGAGCATTGTGATGCCATCTTGCAAAATAAGCTCCCTAAAAAATGTGGAGATCCAGGGAGTTTTATTATACCTTGCTCTTTAGGAAGGACTAAATTTTATAAATCTTTGTGTGATTTAGGTGCTTCCATTAATCTTATGCCTTTGTCTATTTTCAGGAAATTGAATGGAGAGATTGGAGAAATTTGGTCGATACATATGTCCTTGCAGCTGGTGGATCAGACCACAATTATACCTGAAGGAATAATAGAAGATGTGCTAGTTCGGGTGGATAAATTTGTGTTCCCTCTGGACTTCATTATGGTTAACATGGAGGAGAACAGAGAGGTCCTGGTGATTTTAGGAAGACCCTTCTTGGCTACGGGCAAAGTAATTCTGGATATTCAAGAAAGGTAGCTCATGCTCAGAGTGGGAGATGAAAGGCTGATCTTCAAGATGGAGGGAGAAAAGGGGGCCTTGAAAGAGCAAATCGGAAAGAGTGAAACTGATAAGTATGGGGTGCACCCAAAGAGGGCAGAAAAGAAGCTCTCGGCATGGATGTATTCATTGGGTCAGGTGTACAAAGGAGATCCCGACTTCGACTCGGACACCGACTTGATGAATCAGGAAAGTTTCCTTTACCTCTTACTTTTTATTTGCGTGTCATGGGGACATGCCACAATTTAAAGTGTGGGGTGTGGTATGTTAATATATATGTGTATTTGTGTATTTGTATTTGTTTCTTCTGATTAAAAATATAATTGACTTTTCTCGACGATGTATTTCCTCAACTGGCTTTTTGAGAGATCAAACTCGAAGAAAAAAATATTTCATTTTCCCATGATAGTGTAATAATTCCCCATTGTTTTTTCTTTGTATCACAGTTCTTTTTCAAGGGTTTTTGTTGAACTCGGTGTGGTTAGTTTTTCTTTTAGTAGGAGTAGTGAAGTCTTGTGCTATGATATTAAATGGAGATGACTTTTTGTGACTTTGTTGTGCTTTGAGAGCAGTAGTGCCTTATTTGTGATGCCTAGGCTCAATTCTTGACTCTTAGATTAGTGTCTTAAATTGGTTGATTGTACTTTGCTTAACTACTCTGACTAGAGAGTTGGGAAAGATCCGATCCTAAGGGAGTTATGTGCCAATGTGTGAGTGAAGTTTTTATTGATATTTTGTGCATGTCGGTGATGTCTAGAACTTGCCCGTGTGTTTGCAAAGTAAAATAACAGTCTTGTTCAGTCTAGGAAGTGATATAAATATTTCTTTGTTGAGCCACATATATGCTTTTACCTACCTAATGAATGTGTATCTTAGTTAACCCCGTTGAGCCTGTATTCATATTTCTTTGGCAACCACATTGCAAGCCTGATTCACTTTGTTTGAATTGACTATTTGTTTGAACCATTTACCTCTCTTGAGCACTTGAAATTATTATGAGCCTGTGAAAGCTAAAGTTGAGGTATGATTGGGGTTTTTGAGTGAAATTATTGAAAAAGGATAAAGGTGCATTATTTGAAAAAATTGTGAGAGCCACTTGTAGGGAATTGAAAGGAAAAAAAGAGTGAGTGTGCTTGAAAAGAAAAAAGATCAGAACTTAGAAAAAAATAAATTCCATGCTAGTGGTAGTTCTCATCTTATTTGTGCTTACAGATATTTGGAGCGTGATTCTATTATGTATGAAGTTTGGGGTTTGTTTCAACATTAGTGTTACATCCCATATTTTCGTACGATAAAGTTTTGTCGTAAGTTAATCGACGTAAGTTCGGGAATGAGATTACTGTAATATAATATTAGTATATCTTCTGTTCATGGGTCTCAGAATAATACACAGTTGATAAAGTTTATCCGAAAAGAATATTGAGATTATTAATATATTTTCATGTATTTCATTCATTTATACATATACATTGACCCATGACCAGATAGCATTATATACGTATATATTTTTGTGTGTATATATATATATATATATATATATATATATATATGGAAAAAGGTTACGGTGTTATATACGCACCACCACTTGATCAGCTGGTATATGTTGATGATTTTGCCCACAGTGGCTGGGATGATATGATGGGATGCCCTCAGAGGCTTGATAATGTTATGAACACATGTACCTATGCACGGCATGACATTCATACACATATGCATAACACTATAAGTATTTCATAATTTACAGAGTTATCCATGCTTATAGGTTGAGTCATTTACTCTATATTTCTTCCATGTCTTTTATGTACTTATTTATATGCCTTACATACTCGGTACATTAGTCGTACTGACGTCCCTTTTTTCTGGGGACGCTACGTTTCATGCCTGCAGGTCCCGATAGACAGGTCGAGATTCCTCCAAGTAGGCTATCAGTTTAGCGGAAGATGTTGGTGCGCTCCATTTGCTCCGGAGTTGCTTGTTTGGTCAGTATAATTTAGACGCATATTGTTTGGTATGACGGGGCCCTATCCCGACCTTTATGTTAAGTGTGTACTCTTAGAATCTTGTAGACAGATGTCATGTATACGAATGCTTGTATGGCCTTGCCGGCCTATGTTTTGAGTTTACAAATGATCATGTTGGCCTTATAGGCCCGTATATCACATGTATAAGTTTTATACCAGGTTAGGTCGTCCTGTATTGAGTATTCCCCTATGTTTATTCTGGTTAGCCCATGACGGCCCGTTTGGCCCATTTGCCAATGAAAGTACAATAAGAAAGATATGTTATATTGGTACTCGATTAAGTAAGGTACCGGGTGCCCGTCGCGGACCATAAGTGGGTCATGACAAAAGTGGTATCAGAGCAGTTCTGTCCTAGGAAGTCTACAAGCCGTGTCTAGTAGAGTCTTGTTTATGGGCATGTCGTGCACCACAATTATAAGCAGGAGGCTACAGGACATTTAGGACTGTCACTCTTTCTTCTTACTCTAGATTGTGTGGTAGAGCTTAGTTGTAAGAACTTAATTTTCTAAACTCTATCTTATTCGTAATACAACGATGCATTCATTCAGAAAAATGGTCGGTAAGAGATATAGTTGTGGAAGTGTTGAGTTAGAGGAACTCGATTTTGCATCTTTCTTATGATGAGTAAATGTGAGGTCTTCAGCAGATCATGTGTGTACTAAAAGGTGTAAGGTTCTTGATAAAGAACTTTAAGTCAATAATACTTATCCATTCTTACGGTAAAAAGGAATAACAGAATCGGAAGTTAGACACAATTTTCAGCAAGTAAAAGAAGCAAGGTGAAGAAAGGTATAAGGTACCCAATTAATAAAGATTATCATTATTTTTCATTCAGGAAGAGAGATATAAGCATTTTGAGTTACCTTCAACAATAACAGAGGAATGTACAATTGGCTATACCATCTTATTTATGCCATATGGGGGCTAACAAAAATAATATAAGAGAAGGAAGGATATCAAGATCCGATTAGGGTTAGAGTGACCCAAAAAGGGTAGATGGAATGTTTGCGTTAGTTGACATTTCCGAAGGATATTGCAAATGTGGTAATAGATCTCCTTGTGAGACTCCCAAATGGTGCATTCTGAAATAGTACATCTAGATATGAGTACTACAAAGATAGGCACTGGAAGAGATAAATATTACATTAGTGGGGCTCACGTCCTTAGTAGAGGGAGAATGTTAGGCAACCCGAAGAGTGAGTGGATGGGGCAAGGGGAGCTAAATGCAAGAGAATGTCATGTTGAAGTTTTTAGAATAAAGTGATAGGTGGAAGGTTATTAGGGAAATAAGAAGAGAGTTAATAAAACATTATGAGTAAGATGTGATACATGGATGACAACGGTAGATCAAAAAGATGATAGTATTACAGAGTCTATAGTCAAGTGAAGGAAAATACGAGAGGTAACAGGCCTTGTGACCACAAAAGAGTATAGGCCATACAATTATATCCTCATTTCGAGAAATAAGTTCGTGACACCAACACGACTACCAAAAAGGAGAGTTAAACCCTAGAGTAATAGAAATCAGTATGGGCTGGTGAACAAGATAAACAAACATGAATTAGGGGCTAAGTGATTTGATAATAGTCAGCATTATGAGAATTTCAGATTGCGTTCCGGCAATAATAGAATTGACAACAAAAGAAGATTCATGAGGAATTCAGAGAATGGTTGTTCAGGAAGACGTTTCCCTAAAGCAAGCAATGTGAGCAAAGTTAAGCTTAAGGGACTGTAGGTGCTAGTTACATTAGGTGTCTCCCTCGTGAGTAAGGAAATTTGTTATCCTTGGTACAGAATGATTACTGCAAGGCGAGTGAGGTCATTGATGATGTGAAAAGATGCCAAAGATGAAGAGGTATAACATTTATACGTAGATCATCGTAGCACTAAATGTTAGTACTCCCCAAAAGGGGGGAATATGGAGTGATGTGGTATAAGGTCAGAATTAAGGGGTTCTAGAAATTATGGAATGGCAAAGGAAGAATGCGATAAAAAAATGAAAAGGAGACAAGATTGCACTTATTCAAAGCCTACAGATATGCTACGATTCCAGAATATTATGCAAACATGATGTCAAGGAAAGGAAGTAAGGGTCCCTTCCCAAAATTATATTGATAGATAAGGAGTCAGTGCGAGATGTAAGTTAAGACAAAGGAAATAACCCAAGAAAGATTACGCAGAATATTGATATGAGAATGGGCCAACGAGTAGTCAGTCATTGATTCAGGAAGAGCCTAATTATGGTTAAACAGGAGGTTCCAAAAGAGTTAGCAGATCGTGCAAGATAAGCATAGTAAAACCCAATATGGTGAATTCAGTCTCGTAGATATGACATCGTGATCCTTGAGAAATATTCAGATAGTTGGGGTAGTTAAAGGTACCATATGAGTGTTACTAAAATAAAAGAGAAAGACACTGGGAAGATAGTCAAAATATTAAGTTCAGAAGCAACCCTACAAGCATACGAGCGTAAACTATGGATAATTATATGCGAGAAAGGACATCAAATTTTTTTTTTGTCAATTATTCGGTGTAATTAGCTCGCAGCTTTACAAGAGTCGGAGAATCCTCCCTAAATACTACAATGAAAGACAAGCTGAGAAAGTAAGGAAGAAAGCTTTAACCTAAGCTCAGTGACCTAAGGAGGAAATGGTCTTATAACAATAGTCTCACAACAACAATGTATGTACTCCATAAGAAAATGGCACCTATTGTGGCCAATGAACGGGAAGTAAAATCAGAAGTGATATTCAAGATCATATGAGTTGTATGGAATTCCAATATGTGTGGGCACTAAGGTAAGCTAAGTATGCACGCAACAAGGGGCAGGAAGACCAGGAAAAGTAATTGCTTACATTTAAAGAAAGCTGAGAAGGAACGAAAGGAATTATTTGATCAATGATCCAGAGTTAGTTACGTTATGAACACACTTAAGATTTTGGAGTATTATCCATGCAG